CCCCAAAACCCCAAAACCCCAAAACCCCAAAACCCCTATTTCTCAAAATGGTTTTGAATTTATTTGTGAAAATGGCATGAGTTGAAATTGAGATGCAACAGAACTCTATTGACGAAGCAGCCTTCGACCAGCCAGTTCAGAGAGAGCAGAGGAGTAGTGGAATTGGGGAAATAGGCTATATACAAGCTGTAGGGGATATATTAAGATACGGCGCACCTTCTTGTGGCGCCATGGTCTTGCGTAGAGCAGTGGATATCGTGAATTATGTGGTCATCGGCCAGTTAGGAGATCCAACACTGATCTCTGGAGCTGGCCTTGGCATGACCTGTGTTACAATCACTACCTTTTCATTAGCTATTGGATTATCAGGAGGAGTAGAAACTTTATCTCCACAAGCCTTTGGACATGGGAAGAATTATTTAGCGTGCTGATATTATAACAGAGCTCAAGTGATTCTTCTAATAATATTCATTCCTCAGGCGATTTTGTTATATTTTGCTACCCCAATTTTGATTTCCCTCGGTCAACCAGTTGGGTCAGCAGAATATGCTGGAACATACATCAGAATTCTTCTACCTGGGATTTGGGGTTATTGCCAGACAGAGTTATTGAGGAGATATCTTGGAACACAAGGGATTTTCAACATTCTTACTGTAACTCAGATAATAAACTGAGGTTTGCATCTTTTATGGCTTTATCTCTTTGTACATGTTTTAGACTTATCCGTCAACGGAGTTGCTATTTCAGCATGAATAACTTATGTGCTATACTACGTTATCCCTGTTTGATATATCCAGCTTAATCAAGACATGTTGAAGGAGGACAGTTGGCATTTTATCAACAAAGATTCTTTTAAGGATCTTTGGGGATATCTCAAATTTGCACTACCAGTCTTAGTAATCGTTGCCTTCGAGTACTGGATCTTCGAAGTCATTGCTATAATTTCAGGCCTTGTTGGGGAACTCGAGTTAGGAGCAACAATTATTCTCTTTATCGTTATCGCAAGTCTTTTTAACATTCCTTATGGGTTAGGAATAGCTACTAATACGCTTGTAGGGAATTCCTTAGGGAGTATGAAGCCAAACAATGCTAGGATTTACATCAGAGTTTCATTGATAATTTCTATTTTGTGACCCCTCATACTTGGAGGAGGAGTCTATCTTTTCAGATACCAAATAACTGATTTGTTCACGAAGGATAAAGAATTAGCTGAAGTAATAGAGCACTCTATGCTCATGGTATTCTTTATTGCTTTCGGTGATCATATGAGTGGAGTTGCCCAAGGACCTCTCAAAGCACTGGGAAAGCAAAAGTATGCATCTCCTATTTCAATAATTGGAAACTGAGGACTAGCTATTCCTCTAACATATATGTTCACATTCAAGCTTGATTATGGCATCAGAGGTATCTGGGGAGGAATTCCTATAGGCTTTTTTTTCGTTGCTGTCTGATTTTATACTATAATTTTCACCACAAACCTTGAGTCTGTATGACAAGAGATCAGAGAAAGATTAGGAAAGGAGGAAGGAAGCCCTCGCTCTAAGGTTTCACCTCTACTTGAGAGCAATGAATCCTTGTTAAAGTAGCCTAAGCCATTCAATCTTCCCAAACGGGAGTGGGGTTTTGGGGTTTTGGGGTTTTGGGG